AGTATTTGAATGGTCTGTTGTGCAGAGTGGACTTGGATAATGACTTAAGGTAATGAAAGATGTACCTCAGTGAAGGCCCCAGGGAGGCCTGGCATGTTCTTAACACTGGAAGAGAAAAGCATAAAGGCTATATTGAAAAGATAATAGACTTAGTTTGCGGAGAAATTCCAGAAACTCCAGGGTCCCTATTTGCCTTCCTTCCTCTACATATTTTATCTGCTTACATATCTGGGGTAGCCACAGCGTCCTTGTTACAGTTGGTGAACTAGAACATAGACACTAACCTTAACTAAGGACTGTATTTGACATTAATCTGCACCGTACATTTCTGTGGGCCCTGACAGAACTGTGATGTCATGGATACACCAGCAGACATCCACAAAGAGCCATTCACCACCACCCCAACCCCTCACATCCCATCTTTGAGATATGAAATGACCTGTCTCGTGTTTGCATATGACCCTTCGTCTCTAGATCACTTGTAATAGCTAAACCAAGGCAAACACCGTGTTAAGTCACACTGCCGTTCAACGACAAGGAAAGTGCCCGCGTACTCGCCACATAGGAGTTTTTTTCTCCTCCTAATGTATTTTTAATCTAAGCCTGGAGAACTCGTGACTCTGGAGGACTTACCAGGTAAAAGCGACGTTAAAAAACTGGACATTAAGGCAGGGGTGGTGACACATCCTGATCCCCCACTTGGGCAGCTGAGGCAGGAGCGTTTCCACAACTTCAAGGTCAGACTGAGCTACATAACAAGACACCTTCTCATCTCTTCTCAACCCTCACTCCACCTCATCTTAAAGCAAACAAAAAAATGCCATCCCCCCCAAATTTGAACATGGGAGACCACGAGAAGCTCCCTCCTTTCAAAGCAGGAAATGGGAGTAATGTCCGTGAGAGTTATTGCTTCTGCCGCCTCAGCAATCGAGATTATTTATCACCCAAGGACTTCCTGTCTCCACTGCTAGCCATGGGCCATCCCGGTAGTGAAACTGGTTCCTGCCGGAACTGTCCAGGAAGCTGAACCAAGGTATAACCCGGTGGACACCTTGCTAACTAGGTTTGTTCTGTCCATTTCTCCTGATGACTGGAGTTGATCGCTTCAGGAGAGTAGTGCGTGGGAAGACAGAGGCTTTGATTCTTTTCTCCTTTTACCAAATAATTATATTTCATACTTCCTCTTGGTTTCCTAAGCTTTCCCTGGTTTTTGTAGTTATTTTTTTTCTTTTATAGTGTTTCTTTTCTGTGCTCGTTCTAATTATTGCTGTTTTTCTCTAGGCATTCATGGCCTCAGAATTACTCAGCTTCGATTTATTATTCTTATCAATTACTCCCTTTTTGCCTTGACTCTTTAAGCTGTTTTTTTTTTTTTTTGTACAATATTTGTTCTGAACATTTTTCCCCCCTTTAATGCCTGACTGTGACTTCCTTTAGGCAAGGAGGCTTAATTTCACTCGAAGCAAACTGTGCCTTTGCTTTAGATTGAAATAGTGCTGCTGCTGTATAATGAGCTTTCACTGAAGCACACTTTGGGCTCTTCCTGGCATGCTGTTGTGTGTTTGTGTGCGTGTTGGGATTACCGTAAATGACTGAGTAAAAGTCAGACTTTCATAAAGTCTTCATTATCTCCGGGAAAGAAACTGTCCCTCACAGAGTCTCTCCGGAAATCTCCTATCACGGGGGCGCAGTGGGAGCTGTTACGTTCTCACCCACCAAGCTGTAGTTAGAGAAGACACATTACACTTGGTCTGAGTCACGGATGACTCCAGGGCTCTTGCCATCATCCTAGGAATCTGGTAGAAGGGGAGCTGAAGACGGCGGACATGACATTCACCACAACTTCTGGAAGGACGGCTCCCAGTTGGGATGGCCTGAGAGACTACACTGGAAACCACCCTTTGAGTGGTTAGTTTATGGAGATTTTAAATGGGTGCTTATGGTTTAGGGTTTCAAGCAAGTATTAACATACACAGATAAAAATTTATACAGTGTTAGCTAATGATGTAGCTCAGTGGGAGTGTGCAAGGAACCCAGGATAAGACCCCAGCAGTGGAGGCAAGCCAAGTGTTCCATTGTAAATGTCTAGTTCAGGAAGGGTTAACTGCCACAGTGGTGACCCAAGGAACCTTTGGTTCACACTTGACAAATGGTAGTGACGCTGTTTCATGAGATGCAAGGTCGGGGTGTGTGCACATAATTCTAAAGTTAGGGCCGGGTATGATGGCGTACACCTTTACTTCCGGAACTCAGGAAGCAGAGGCAGACAGATCTCTGCAAGTTCCAGGCCAGACTGGTCTATGTAGGGAGTTCTAGGCCAGCTAGAGCTACACAGTGAACTATGTGAACATTTAAGTATATCGTCTTGTTTCTGTGGTGTCGGGGCCCGTGTCCAAGGCTTCGTGTAACTTTATAGTCTGATGTGATATTTTGACTTCAAAGCTAAATATTAGCCAGAGTGACTCGGTTAGTCCCATCACATTCCTGAAAATTGATATTATGTGTTTTCTAAAACCAATTCAAAGGGGTGAGGTCTGCCTGTTGGGAAAGTAGTTGGGGGGAGGGGCTGCCTTATATTTAGGGTGACAGTATATTTGAGTATATGGGATGGCTTTTAAAAACAGTTTCCAAGTAGACCATGCATAGTTTCACTTGAGCTGAAGGTATACTGACTTCTCCCCCAGTTATGTGTGCATCCAGAGGCCATTACATATTTACACGCTCTGACTTGGTGTTAACACATCCCTCATCCGTGTGTCAGGCCCCAAGGCTCCCAGCAGCCTCCTGGTTTTAAACCCACTGGACATTCCCCCCCACTCCCATTTGACTCCTTGAGTCTTCTCGTTCTGAAATCCACCCACGGTTGTTCCAAGGAAGCTGTCTTCCGTCTCCTTCCCGCCCAGCCCTGCCGTGAATGGCTGTACTCCTCCGGGGGCCTGTGCACACATCTGATTGGATTTTTCTTTTCCCTAGTTCTCTACCCTGTCCCCGAACAATCCCACATCTTTCCTGAGCTTCATGTCTTACTCATACTGAGTGGAGAATTGGTTACTGGCAGGCCAGGTCTTGCCTCAAGCTTGGCCTGCACAGTGTTGTTATTTTATACGCAAGTTTCTTGCCAGTGTCTAAAAATTGAGACCAAATGAAGATTTCCGGCTTTTTGCAAAGTGGACAGGCTGGTAGCATGGGGACTGGGCTGTGAGCAACTGTCCCTGTTAAGTGGGACATCACTGCTCTGTCTGGTGGTGCTCATCTTTTCACAGACATTGGTGGAAGGTGTCGGCCGCCATTTTTGTTTCATCATGATTAGACCGTTAAGTTCCCCATAATAGACATAAGAAAAAGAGGATTTATTTTCTGATTTCTCTATTCCAATGTTGGAAAATTAAATCAGGGCCAACCATAGCAGATGGAATATAAATGTGTGTATATGTACATTTATGGAAAAATGTTATTAAAAAAAGATTTTTTATTTTATGTGTATGAGTGTTTTGCCTGTCTGTATGTATGTGCACTACGTGTGTGCGCTCACAGAGCCTTAGGAGGCCAGAAGGTGTCGGATCTCTTGGAACTAGAGTTGTGGACAGTTATGAGCTACCACGTGGGTGTTGGGAACCGAACCTGGGTCCCTTGCAAGAGCAGCAAGTGCTATGAACTACTGGGCCATCTCTCCAGCCCCTAGAAATGTATTCTTAATTAATATTCAGTGTATGTCTGAGTCTGTACATTCAGTAAGCAATGTAAGATTCCAGAATTTATGTGTTGACTGAGATGTGTCTGAGATAGCTCACATATACACATTCGTACCAATACAGAGTTTGGTTCCAAAACCCAGAAGGTTCTCTTTGGTTTAATCTTGTTGTTTTTGTTTGTTTTGTGGTGATGGAGGTTGAATCTAGGGCCTTATGCACATTAGGCAGTTGCCGCAACTCCAGACCCCAAATGATCTTTTGGGTAATCTAGCTTCACTCCACGTTAGCTCCTGATGACCTGGGGTTACCAGGGTTCCATGGCCCAGTGGAGAGAAAGGCAGGCCTGTTTCCTGCCCAGGAGGAGGCTGTAGTCCTCCACCAGGGTGCTGAGGTCTCCCATCCAGAGGGCTCCCCTGGCTTTTTGTCCCTCCCTGTCACCTCCTCGTCAATGACTGGCATCACCTTCTCCTAGAGGAGTGCTCCTCAATCCATCTGCACGCCCGATTCCCTTTCACCATGCCTGATTAACATCCACACAGGCATAACACCGGGGATTCGGAGGCTGACATCTGTGGAATCCATTTTTCCACCTGCGAGAACATCTGTTTGCTAAATAGATTAGAATATTATCATCTGCTTCCGCCGCCGCCGTGCTGGGACACTTCGGCGCTAAGCGTGGAGGCCCGTGGAGCGGATTAATTAAATCAGCTTTCGTATTTATTTATTCTATACTTACTTTATTGACATGAGGCAGGGGAGGCTGGACCGTGCATGGCACAGGCGGAGGTCGAGGACAACTTGCAGGAGTTGGTTCCCTTCTTCCACCATGGCCGCAAGCGCCTTTACCTCCTTAGCCCTCTTGGCCCTGTTTTGTTTAACTGCCTCCCCCGCCCCCAAATCCGTTGGTGACTCTGATTGCTGCCGCTCACAGTGTCACAGACATCCCCCCTGCTCCGAATTCACATTCTTTGACTCCCCGGCAGCATCTGCGTGGAACGTTGTGTCCCTATTTTTATTTTTTATCTTGGTTGTGTTTAACTTTCAGATTTTGGGTCCACTTCCGGAAACTTTTCATCATCTCTCGGGCTCCCGTTCACTCTGCATTCCCTGGAATCCTTTAGCTTTTTATAGTTGATGGCAATTGACTCTATCCCATCTTATAACTATTTACTTAATGACCTGGTTTCAGCAGAGATGGTGAGGGTGGCTTCAAAGGGGCTCTAAAAGCGTTCGCTTCCTTTCAGGAGTGAAATGTCATTCTGTTCTTCCGAATGCTTGTCTGAGATGTATGTTTTTGTTTTATTTCAGAGACTTGAAGATAGAAAATTTGCTGCTAGATGAAGACAATAACATCAAGCTGATTGGTATGACTTCTTGTTTTTTTTTTTTTAAAGCAGGATTACCTCTTAAGCGTTGTGCTGTCGATTATTAACTTTGAAAGATTTCTATATTACTGTTTGTACTTCTAATGTTTAATAATCGCTTTGATGATGAAAATTAATTTGAAAAGTAATTTAATGATTTATTTAAATAATAAATTAAACATATTAGGAAGATAAAAATAGTGTCATTTGATTGTGAAATGACTTTTATAGTTCCAAGTAAACAATTATTGGTCACGTATTTCTTTGGACTTTGTCAGCTTCAACTTCTTGTACATGTCTGTGTCTGTGGTGTATGTTTGATGTGTGTGTGTGCGTGTGCATGTGTACACGGGTATGGGGGCAGAGGGCAGGCATCTTCCTCAGTCTCTTTCCACCTTATGTTTTGAGACAGGGTCTCACAGGACTCAGAACTCACCCAACTGGTTAGGCTGTGGGGTCAGGGGGCATCAGGGACCCTCCTGTCTCTGCCTCCTCAGCTGGAGCTGGAGTTATAGATGGTTGTGAGCTGCCACATAGGTGCTGGGAACTGAACCCGAATCCTCTGCAAGAGCAGCCAGACAGAGTGTTCTTAACCACTGAACCATCGTCAGTGTCTTAAATTCAGACGATCCTCAACTTTTAAAGTGTTTATTTTTAAATGTGAATTAGCAAGAAAATGTATTATTACTAGCAGAAAACAGTTGGGCTCAACAACATTGCCCATAGCTTTTTCATATCTTGTTCCATTTTGCCGTGTATCTGAGGATATCCCAGACAAGGAAGAATGAAATCGACTTTCCCTTTTAAACATAATCTCGTGCAGACTTTACAGCAGCTTTATGAAGAGGGGTGCCTGCAGAGGTATGAAAAGAGCCTGGGTCCACTGGAGGGAAGCTGCAGGGAACCGGAAGTTGTGGCTGGTGAATCCTACGTGAATTCCCCATGACTGTCCTGGAAGAACTGGGTTATTTTGCTGGTGATGCTCTCTGTGTGTAGTTGCTCTTGGCTGTCAAGTTCACACCCAGCTGTGAGGAAGCCAGGACCATCTCCCATTTCTCACTTTTCTTTCTTTTCCTACTTCACATGCAAGTAATTTCTTCTGCCTAGGTGGCTTGAAAAGACCCACTGGCAGCTTGAATCACACTTAGTTCCCAGTGAGAAATACGCTCCGGAGGCTGAGGGACTCCAGCCCACTTCCCTGGGTGATTAGGCATCCTGACAGGTGGTGATGGACTGATTTACCCATTAGTGGAAAATTAACAGTTCTGAGGAAACCAGTCTTCCCCACTCAAAAAAAAAGACCCTTTAAGGACCCTATTTTTAGCAGGTTCTTAGAGCAGACCGATGATTTTCTTTTCGTTATGTTGCTTGACTATTGCTCAGTAGCCACCCTGAGAGACGGGTACAGAAGCAGTGAGCAGAGGCCCTGCTGAAAGGCCTGTGGGATGTCTTCCGGTCCAGCTCTCTGGGATTTCTGGCCTTTAACAAAAGAGCCTCCTGGAGGGTAAGGGGTGGAGGGAAGGCGGTTCCACCATCCATGGTTAATGTGTCATGTATCTTTGGAAGATGGAGAGGTGGCAGAGCTGGAGCTGTCTGAACAGCAAAGTCAGGGAGCAAGCTTGGTAAAGGCTGGGTTGATACCACAGTAAAAGCTCGAAGTTCATTTCCAGCTTGTCAACGAGGCCACCGAATCTAGCAAGCACTGTCTGTGGAGAGTTTCCAGGTCCTGTCAGGTCACAGTTCACACTGTGTCTTTCCCTCACTCCTGCCTCGGTGCCTTTTCTCTCTCTTGTCAAGCGGCAGCCCTGGATGACCACTTACAAATCTGTCCTGTTGTACAAGCAACACTGCAAAAGACAGGCGTCTTTATTGGTGAGGCGTTTCCTCAGAGGAACCGATCATGGTTATGCTAAGCCGGCAGTCTCCCAGCTGCTGCATCCACAGCACTGAGGATTACTACTGAAATAGCAGGTGCTTTTGTAAGTAGCCAGAGACTGGCCGAGTAATAAACTCTCTGAGAGGAAACTCACACAGGCAGTGTCTTGGTTAAGGTTTCTATTGCTGTGAAGAGACCCCATGACCACAGCGCCTCTTAGAAAGGAAAACAATTTAACTGTGGTGGCTTGCTTACAGTTCTGAGGTTCAGTCCATTATCATCATGTCAGGGAGCATGGCAGCATGCAGGCAGACATGGTGCTGGAGAAGGAGCTGAGGGTTCTTACATCTTGACTCACAGGCAGCAGGAAGTGGACTGAGACACTGGGTGGTATCTTGAGCATATATGAGACCTCAAAGCCCGCCTCCACAGTGACACACTTCCTCCAACAAGACCACACCTACTCCAACAAAGCCACACCTCCTAATAGTGCCACTCCCTTTGGGAGGCCATTTTCTTTCAAACCACCACAGTCTGAAGAGATGGCATACTTAAGCTAGAGCCTAGAATTCTCTTCTCACTGAGTATGATGGGTGCTTTTTGGAGATCAGGAACTGCCCTATTCACCTTCTTTGGGTTCTCACCTTTTATCTGTAGCCCTGGGATTAACATCTAGCGAGGTATTTCGAGTCATCAAGACTGTAAAAAGACAAATTACAACTAGTTGTTTCAACCAAATTTGCCTTTGAGGTTCTAGCAGTGGGCAGAGTCCTGACCATAAACAGTTCAGAATATCCTGACCTCCTCCACATGCATGTTGTGGTTATAGCTAAAGGAAAGACGTGAGGAACAGAAAACAACAGGATCGAGGTACAGAGAACCTGATTGTTACAGTTCAGAGCGGCCTTCCGTGAGCATGGCTTCAATAGCTGACCGTCTATGATAAGACTCAGCTCCACAGTCTGCTTACCTGTCACAGTAGGTTATAGTTCTCTATGCATGGGGATGTCTTCAGTCCAAACTTAAAGTATGTAGAGACATCTTTAGTCCAAACTGAATCTGGTAGTGAGAGATGGGCCAAGCCTTCTGAAAAATGACCTGCTGTCAAAAGCCAGGATACACAGAATTGCGAGGAAGGAGGCTCTGGGCGTTGTGTTTCTCTGGGTCTCTTCCTTCTCTCACCTCCCAGTTCTCTCATGGCCTAAATGATACTATAAATGAAAGTCACGTTGTACTAGCCTAGAAGGTAACCAGTTCTTCATTCAGCCTGCTTCCCTCAAGGGGAAGGAGCCCGGTGTCTTGTGGTTCTCTTGCCCCTGGGATGGGCAGTGTGGATCAAAGGTCTTTCCTAAACCTTGTTATTACACTGTTAACTTGAAAGCCCTCCAAACCTCTTTTCTTCAAAGGATTACTTAGGTGTTTTTCAAAGAGGATTATAGCTATTATCATTTCTTCTTAATAGTTTCCCTGTTTTTGAAATCATTTGGTTTAAATAAACGTACGTCAGCCATGTTTCAAATGAGCTAGAATTATCAGGAGTCAGATTCTTGATCCAGTCATATATTTTTCTTCTTACAAGAAGGAAAGAAGAGAAAAGAAGAGGCGGCAGCCTGATGTTTGCGAGGATGCTCCCTCACCACGGGGGATAGCTGTAGCTTAGAGGAACTGTGAATAGTTGCAGGGGCCTTCTTTTGAGATTTCATTTTGCAGCTCTCAGAAAATTGAGTGATAATTAGCTTATGTATTTACCAAATCTAATTGAGGTCGACCTATCTGACATTACTGGGAGGCAAATTTCTCTCTAGTTTCACTGTTCTAATTATAGGCATATGTGTAAAATTTTAATAACCATAATTATGAATGTGAAATATTCTGCCATTTATTTCTCTACAATGTCTTTAAAATCAAGTCTTCTCAGTAGATGAGGACAACTTTAAATGCAGGTTCTGAGCCCCTCCACTTCCCAAATCCCGAGCTAATTTATCTTCTTGGAATGCTCTTGAGATAAGGCCGGGCTCTGTTCCCTAGCTTGCCTGGGACAGTGTGGGGTGATCTGGCCTCTTATCTTGCCTTTCTTGATAGACTGGATGAGGGAGAAGGGAGGAGGTGGCCTGAAAGAGGCTGCCCTTTGCTTTAACAGAGACCCTTTACCTTTAATCTCAGAAATTCGGGGATCCATTTTCCTGGGACTGCTGCAAGATCGGGCCTCTAACACAGCTTTCCTTAAAGGTTTGCCTCCTGGTAACACCGCCGTCTTTCCTCTATGGTACTGTCTCCAGACTCCATAGTAAGTGTTCTTAAGCCAAGAGGCATGGTAGTTTCCTCCTGTTAGTGCTCCCCCACCCCACCCCACCCCACCCAGCTAGTGTGCCGCAGTATATACTGGGCTCTGGGGGCAGGGCCCCTCATCATCTTTGCAACAGATACCTTCTGAGATGGGAGGCTAGCCATCCTCTGTAGTCCGGAAAGGCTTTTCTATGCCCGTCTTGTGGTGGGACAAACTGGACCAAATGGGGAGGAAATGGGCAGGTAGAGGGTAAAGGTAAGGAGACGGGAGGAGGGGGGGGGGGTCACGTGAAAAAAAATACAATCAAAAACAAAAGAGAAAGGTCGGTGTTGAAACAGTCTTCCTGTTGGCTGCTGGGCCAGACCCCTAATGCAGGCTCTTCCTCAGGAGCCTGGGCTGAGGGCTTGATGTCCTTCGGAACCTGAGAGAGTTCTTTCGGTTCTCTTTGGATGAGCTGCTCGGTTAGACGACAGTTCACTGCCGCAGGTGTTCGGGGACTCTCCAGTGTTGTCCTGGCGACCCGTGGTGTCCACGGTGTGCGGGTGGCTTCACGCCCTCCCAGGCCCCCTGTGCTGGTTGTCATTTCCTGAGCTCCTTCCTACGGCTTTTGGGGTGGGTGTGCACTTGCAGGTGGAGACAGGCTAGAGCCGAGAGGCAGGCCGTAGTGAGAGGAGACTCAAGTGGTGCCAGTGGTGCCCATGCAAACGGAGCCAATCTCTGCCTTGCCCTGCAGCTTGGGCGTCTCAGGTCTGTGGGCCCAGAGCTCAGTGTTTGCAGTGGAGTTCAAAGGAGGACCCAGGATCTCAGATCTTAATTCTGAGATCCACAAAGATTGAAGGAAGATATTAGAGGCGGGAAGAACATTAACAGCTCTCTAATTACCCTGCAGTATCTTTAAGATCAAAAGTAAATAGTTCACAAAACTCATAATAGACCCAAAGTAGCTGTGAGCACGCTGGGGCCTTCCTGCAGGCGTCCCAGATGCCTTCCTCCCCTCAGAACAAAGCAACGCCATGAGATCGCTTAGTCTAGCTGGCATCACCAGCCTGCTGGCTGTTCTTTTTCCAGCCAACATGCAGGGCTATTTGAACTGTCCTCCACCCCCACCCCCACATTACAGTCTACCTCTGGAAGGAGTCTCTTAAAGACTTGAATGAAAGAAACTGAGGTGTAGAAGTCAGCTGTAAGTGGCCAGGGATGCAGACGGCCAGCCGGAGAGCATCAGTCTCCATTCCGCTTCTCCCAGCCTGGCCACCAGGCAGCCAGGATCTCAGCACGCCAGTTCTCCGTTCTTGCCTCAGTCCTAGAAAGCTAACAGTCTCTCTTTACCCTGGATGACTCATTTACAAGGCTCGATAGAAATATGTTTTGGCTCATCACACACTGTTAGGTCTAGCTGGCTTGTGCGGTGAGGGCTGATGTAAAATGTTCCACTGAAACAAGGGAGCCGCCACCCGGCACGCCTTTGTCTTGAGGAGTCTATCAGGGGTTATGGTTTGCAGCTGGCGGGTTTCCTGTTGGATGCTAAATTATGTGTTAGCCTGAGAGAATGTTTCCTTTTCTGCTGTTTTTTTTCCCCTTCTTCTTCTTTTTTTCCCTCCTCATTTTTTTTGCAGTGTTCTAATTCAGAGTTCATGTTTGTCTTCTCTCTGCAGACTTTGGTTTGAGCAACTGTGCAGGGATCCTGGGTTACTCGGACCCATTCAGCACACAGTGTGGCAGCCCTGCCTATGCTGCCCCGGAGCTGCTTGCCAGGAAGAAATACGGCCCCAAAATTGATGTCTGGTCAATGTGAGTTATCCAGCTTGTAAAACTCGGTGTTCCCTCCTGAGGTCTCCATGTCTCCTTTTTGTGAAGTAGTCTGCCACTAACTGATGAGAATATAACCTAGTGTATGCTGTGGAGTATATCATTCATGATTCTCAGAGCCCAGCTTTCCTCTTTTCTTTCCAGACTTTTCTTCATAAACTTTCAAAATGGCATTTACAGACATTTCATTGGGGAGCTGGGTAAAGCAGAAAGCCAGCTCTGGCCTTCACAGACTTGCAAGGATGTGCCGTGAGCCACCCATGCTCTATGAAAAACCTTTTCATAAAGCCAGGCCTGGTGGTACAGGTCTAAAATCACAGCTGCCTGAGAGGCCGAGGGAAGAGGATCATGAGTTCAAGGCTTGTCTGGACTACAGGCTGAGTTTAAGGCCCCCTGGGCAACTGAGTGAGACTCTATCTCAAAATGAAAAGGAGAAAATGGGTGGAAATACAGCTAGTGGTGAAATCCTGGCTTAGTATGTGCTAGGTTCTAGGTTCAGTCACCTGTGCCACATAAACAAACCCAACAAACACATGTGCACATGTACACACACACACACACACACACACACACACATACACACACACACACACACACATACACATGCCACTACACACACACCCTAAACTGAACAAACACACAGGCATGTGTGTGTGCATACACACACACACACACACACACACACACACACACACACACACTCTACAAACCCTCAGCACACCACATACACACACACCAAACCAAACAAACACATGTGCACATGCACCCCCCCCTACACACAGACAAACAGCAAAGACCCACACACGTCACATACAGCCCTCCCTCCCCATATACACATCCTTACTAAAATAAAAATCAAACAACCAGATGTTACCATAGTTTCCTAAGCAGGAGCTTTAAATCCACTGCTGCCCACCTCTCCCGCCTCTTTGCACCTGCCTGGTCCCCCGCCCACAGCTTGGCTTCTCCCCCACCTTCCCCCCCTGTCTTTCCTTTGCTGGAATGCTGTTCCAGCTCTTCATCCAATCTCACACTCCGGCTTTGCTCCAACAGCCCGTTGTGGACGCTCCGAGTTCCCTGCTGAGGACCCCTGTGTCCCCTCACCTCCCTCACTTCCCTTTCCACCTGCCATGTGTCATCCCTCACTGTCTCCTCCTCCATCAGAAAGGACAGTCTGGGGACAGCTGGGGAATTCATCAACACTACATGGAAGCCATGAGAGGGCCGTGGAAGCCCCCGATACCAAGAGACCTTTCAAGGGTCTTGTGTCCTGTGGTGACGGGGAGATGACCAAAGGGAAGGTGGAGCTGGTAGGTTGGGGAGCGGAGATCAGTTTGCTCCTTGAGGTCAGGCTCTTGAGGGGACAGACGATGTCGTGTTGCTTCCGGTGTCCACAGATCTCCTGGGTGTGGAAGGTGTGTGGTGGAGGGCAGCAGGCTCAGGCTCTTCTGTCGCCTCCTGCTAACCCCGACACAGAAGCCAGTCGGCTGTCCCTGTGGAGATGAAAGCCCGGGCTGGGAAAGGTCGGGTTTTGTTCTTGCCCTTTCCGCCACGTTGCTCGGCCAGGGAAAGGGATTCATATTTAGCAACCGCCGACATTCCATCTCTCTGTTCTGTGACTGAGAGAAAGGGTCCTGCTCCTCAGAGAAGCCTCTTTGCCTTCCCATGGCCACCAGCTCTCTGTCTGTCTAGAAGTGATGGTGGCACTAGAGAAGGAGAAAGGAGATGATGTCCGGCCACGATGCCTGGATCCCTCAGGAGCAATTGTCTGCAGCCAGTGAACAGTTTGTGTCTGTCACTCATCCCGGCGTGGACAGGTCCCTCCACACGTCTGTGTTAGTGTTCACTTGGTGAAATTATTCTCTCCAAGAAGATAATGCACAGCTGTAGGTGCTCAGATAATCTATGGATGCCGCGTGACCCTCCTCGGGGTCTTACTGGCCAGGAGACGTGGAAGCAGGGCATGGAATGTGTAGAATTTCACGCATGCCCCAAGAGTCCCCGGGAGCAGAATGGCAAGCTGTAGCTTCCTCGACCCGAGGAGTACTTTGTTGCATGGCCCAACCCTCAGCCGGGAGAGAGCTCTTCTCCTGCTTGACGGGTGTGTAGCCAGCTCCTGTGACTCCTTTACCTACTTCTCAGAATTGTATCACCTAGTCCCCACTTAATCTTTTGAAGCCCTAGACCCCCCATGTCAAGGTGTTTGGTGATGGGACCTTTGGGAGGTATTAGTTTTAGATGAAATAAGGAAGGTGGGGCCCGTGATGCTCTTGGTGTCCTTGTAAGAGGCACAGTGAGTTTATATTGTCTGTGTGCCATGTGAGGTCTCAGGACAAGGGTGGCCCTCCCCCAGCTGGGAAGGAGGGAGGCTCTCACCAGAACCTGGCTGGTGCTTGGTCTTAGACTTTCAGCCTCAGAACTGTGAGACAATGTCTGTTGTCTGAGTTGCCCGTTCTGTGGTATTTTGTTACGATAGCCTGTGCTGGCCAGCTTTTCATTGCTGTAGCCGAATACCCGAGAGGGTGAGCTCATGAAGAATAAAGGTTTATTTTGGCGGATACCTCTGAAGGTTCCAGTCTGTGGCTGACTGGCCTCATTGACTGGGGCCTGTGGTGAGGCCCAGCACTGGGGATGGGGTATGTGGCGGGGCAGAACTGCTGAAGTTACAAACCAGGAACACAGAGAAAGAGGACGGAGTCCAAGTCCTTTCCAGAGCGTGCACCAGCTGCTTAAGGATTTCCACCAGACCCCGCTCTAAAGATCCCACATCTTCTAATAATGCCTTCCTGGGAATCAGGCCTTTAAAAACACATGAACCCAAACCACGGCATAGACCAGGCTGACTAAGACACATACCTGCCTCCAAGTCCCCTGTAAACAATGTCAGGTGGCATGGAAGCAGATAGACAGCTGGATGAAACTGAGAAGGCTGTGTGTGTGTATGGGGTGTGTGTGTGTGTGTGTTTGTGTGGTGTGTGTATGGTGTGTGTGTGTGTGTGTGTGTGTGTGTGTGTGTGTGTGTGTGTGTGTGGTGTGTGTGTGTATGGTGTGTGTGTGTGTTTGTGTGGTGTGTGTATGGTGTGTGTGTGTGTGTGTGTTTGTGTGGTGTGTGTATGGTGTGTGTGTGTGTGTGTGTTTGTGTGGTGTGTGTATGGTGTGTGTGTGTGTGTGTGTGTGTGTGTGTGTGTGTGTGTGTGTGTGTCTAACCTGCTCTTGAGAGCTGATAAAGCTGGCCAGATGGGAAAGAGGTGGGTTAAGGTTCCAGATGGGAAAGAGGTGGGTTAAGGTTCCAGATGGGAAGAGTGTATGGCGCAGGCAGTACCGACATCTGACCACTGCCGACTCTGAAGGTCTTGGCGAGAGCATGAAGCCTTAGAGCCTTCGTTAGAAGATGGATTTTCCACTACTGTGGAGTCCTCTGTCTGAGGGAGGGATTAGGTTTCTGTGTGGTACCCGGGGCTTTGTTGACAGAATTGGGAAATAGAAAACCCAAAGAGAATTTAATTCAACGCTGCTTAAGATGAGAACGGAAATGGAGACCACTGTCTCCCTGCTCCAAAACCATTATTACAAAGTGCCTTCTCTTCTTAAATTGCTGTGAAACAGCATAGTGAAGAACCAACTTCTAAAATCAAAAGCAAATGCCCCTCTCCAGAGGTTTTCAAGCCTGCTGTATGGCAGGGACTAACTCTAAGGCTTCTGAGATTGGTGAAGAGGAAGACTTGGAGAACTCTTGAGACAGCCTGGAGTGCTGGAGAATCCCTCTGGTAACGTGAGCATCAGCTATGGAAAAAGAATGGGGTCCTGTGGTGGTCATCCTTGTCAATGGTGTCGTTTTTCAGGACCACATAAATAATCCCTAAAACCATGTTCACCTCTTCCTTTCACCTCACTCAGAGGTCTTATACGCTCATTCTTTCTCTCTCTCTCTCTCTCTCTCTCTCTCTCTCTCTCTCTCTCTCTCTCTCTCTCACACACACACACACACACACACACTCATTCATTCTCTCCCTCCCTCTCCACCCTTCCCCCATTTCCCTCCAGTGAACTTTTGAGATTTTAGACACAAAACTGTAATGTTCACTCTGGTACATCAAACATTTATTATTGCTTCTCAACTTTTCCTCAGAGTGGCATATGTTCTAATTTGAAAATAACTTTAATGCGGATGTGCTTTTTAATTGAAGAGAATTTAATTCCAAGACTATTACAGCGCTTGCTTGAGAAGCTCAGTGAGCCTTTCAGGGTAAGAAAAATGGACACCAGGAGTCTTGTTCCCCAAGAGATGGTGGAAGCGACATTCTCACAGCACAGTGCTTTGCCCTTGTGGCTGTGCAGACTGGGGACCTACTGCAGAGTCATGCACATGGGTTCCCCCTCCTCCCTCAGCCTCCTGAACCCTTCTTTTACTGACTTCCCGGGAGGGACTCTGCCTTTCCCCAGGTGTCTTTGGGTAGTTAAGTTGGACAAGAGGTACCATGTTGTTTCCAGTGCTCCTGTCTCTGCAGAACAGGGTGTTCAGGAAGAGAAGGACAACATTTGGGCCAGGTCCCAGGCTCTGTGTTTACAGAATGATACCAGATGTTATTCCCTGCAGGCAGGGGTCACAGACAGAAGGATTTTCTCTGTATTCATGATAAAAGATGGCGAGGCAGGCACAGGGAGAAGAACCGTGTTCATCTGGGGAAACTGAAGGCTTTTGACCTTTAAAAGAGAAGTTCCATGCTGGCGGGGTACGGCAGTACATGCCTCTAATCTCAGTATTCAGGAGTCTGGGGCCGGAGGACGAGGCATCTGAGGCTGTCATGGGCTCCATAGAGAAACCCTGACTCAAAGGCGAAGCTTTCTTCAGCTTTGGTAGCTGAAGAAAGCTACTTTTCTTCTGCTTTTGTAGCTGGTACATTTATTGAAATAGAGCAGGTCAGGGAAAGGGACAGACACCTTGAAATCCACCAGAAAACCTTTTCCCGCCCAACGCGGAC